AATCAATTGAAAATATAAGTACATTTTTATTTGAGCAGCATGATACATACTATAGCTAAACTATTCTTCTAATCTAATAAACTCGTCTTAAGCATAAAAGCCTTTAAGTTCAACCTTGAGGACAATATTTCGCTTTGCAATGTCTTTGGATAAAGACCCTTCTAATCCACTGCATCATTGCCAGCAAGTTGTTACTGTCATATGTCGATCCATGCCATTGGAATACAGGAAACTACAAAAGGATGGGTTAAAAAAAGGAAAGAGGGATATCTAAAAATGTTTAATTAGACTAACAAGAAAATGAAAGAGTAAAAATTGAAAAAAATATTTCTTGTTTTCTCTAAAGACCTGCTTCTCAAGACCTCTTTTCAATAAGAAATGCCCGATTGGGATATCATTTCTTTTCCTGACTGTCTGAGGAACTTATCCATTCTTGATCTTGATTTCCTTCTCATGTACCATCTAAGGAGACTTATCGCCTAGTGGAAGCCTTTACTTCTAGGACACACTTAGTCTCAACCTTCTTTGGGCAGTAATTTTTTATCCACCTGTGATAGGAGGGTAACTTATGATGGACCTCAGGTTCTTATATGACCTAGTAGGGATTGGGTCTTGTTGTTTCAGTATGATATCTTCTAATAGCCATACCTAGTTAAAGAAATTTTATTGATATATATTTTATATTACCAAAAATAGTCTTTTCCCAAAAATCTTTTTGCTTCACAATGGTGAAAGGGTATCAGAAGAGCAGTAGTGATCCTTGTCGATTGCAATATTCTTTAACAATTTCTGGGAAAATGTATTCTTAACTATAATCAAAGGGTTGGAGCTTAGTATGGACTAGAGACCATTTAGTTTTATCACCTAACTGAGATAAAAAGAAGATCTTGATCTTGAATTTTGCTTGACTGGAATAATAGGAGAGAAAGATCTCAGCTTGAATGAATAGCAGCTTTTTCATCACCTAAGAACTTGTTGTTTGTATCTTATTGATCTCATGGAAATTGATTTATAGATTAATCCAATTGGAGAAGTGGGGTGGACACGAGATATCAATTACTCTTTCTATTACCAATGATGTCATTGGAACACATAAGGTGACCAATAGAAGCTTGTTTACATTCAGTTATTAACATGTTTTATATCAATCAATTAGATATCAGGTGATATTGTACTACTAGAAATTCAAAGTCAAATTGAGGTAGGTAAAATTCCTCAAGAAAATCGTGAAAAACAGTAAACACTTTAAGAGGGTACAAGACAGTATGTAAGAAGGTGGGTAATAAACCTTCCCCTATCAACAAAACCTCTATTTCTTATCACTTCTAGCTCTGTAAGGTAACACTCCACTTGTTAGTTCTTTTACTTCCTAAAACCTTCTTGCCCTTAGTAGAGGAAGTGTATACTTGAGTCTTTTCAGGTCACTAGAGGCTCAAGTTTTTATTTAAAGGAGTTTATAAACAAGTAAGGGAGGATAGGAGAGATACATAAAGACAAGCTTCAAGTTGTTTTAATAAAAGTGTAAAGACTTTATTAGCAAAGAAATATAAAATTTCTTGTGAATATCTTTTTTATGTGTAGTTAGAGAATCAGCGGAAAGAGTTTGGCAGATTAAATCTTTTTATTTTTTTTTTATTAATATATTTTGTATTAAACAAATATCTTTAGTAAAATTTATACTATCTAAAAATTTAGAATAAAATTAAATAAATAAAATTTCTTAAAAAACTATAAAAGTAAAAGTATAAAAAAGATAAAAACAGTTAGCAAAAAAAGAAATAATTCTTCTTACTATATAAAAATTTTTTTATATATTGTTTTAAAAATGACAAAAATATTTTATTATTAAAAATTTTTTTTAAAACTTTCTTACCATTGATAAAAAATATATTTTTTGACTTTTTTTTTTTATTGTTAAAAGTTAAGTTTTTGTTTAAAAAAAGTTTTAAATAAGAGAAAGTAATATTACTAATTTTTGAAAATACTTTTCAAGAAATTTAAGGAAAGTATAAAGATTTTATTAGCAAAGAAATTTTAAATATTTTATGAATTTCTTTTTTATGTATAATTAAAAGATAACTTTATTAAATATTATAAAGATTTATATTTAAATTTTATAATATTTTGTCTTATAATAAGCAGCAATAAGTAATTAATAAAGTTTTTCATAAATTAATTTTATTATATACAGTACATATTTTTTTGAATATGTTAATTGGAATTTAATCAATAAAAGTAGACCAATCCAGTTTTGTTTATTGGATTTTCAATAGTTCGATCCGTCATACTAAAGATGAGTTTGTCATTATGTACGTAATTGCCTAGATCTTGTTTTTCTAATTAATAAGTTGTCAATTTCAAAAAAAAATTTATTATTGCCTTACAACAATTATCTTATCGATTGCGCATATTTTAAAACTACTCGAACAATAACATAATTTAAACCACTTTACTGTTACTCGGTTCTGATTCCGCCCTTAGCGTTGTATGAAACGCTTCCCGGTTTTGTTAAAGCAACATTTCATATAGTTACAAGAGATAGCAATTTAATTTTCTACAATCTCGCGATAACTCAATGGAAATCAGATTTACGATTTGTAAAATTCTCATTTAGTAATACTATGTAGGTATTATCATATTGCAATAGTTAAGATTACGTAGGGCTTCAAGTGTATTAGCTTTTACTAAAGTTTTCAAGAATCGACAGTTGTAAGGACAGGGAATTACAATATTTTCTGTAAAGCACTATGGTAATCTGAATTAAGTATTGATACTGTAATTGAAAAAAATTGAAAAGGGCTTTTTTTTTTACTAGCTGAGGAAAATATATAATCAAGAAAGAACACATGAAATAATCGCTCTCGAAAAATTATACTACGAGCGGAAATTAAGGCTACTTAATTCTCCTAATTCGTCCCTTAGCGATAATAGACGTATTTTGATAAACGGTTAAAAGATAGCCGATGATAGGTGCTTTGACATCCAACGTAAAACTTGAGGTACCAGGTTCTACAATTTCTATACCCAACTCCTCAAAGGATTTTTTTTTAAACTTCCCCTTAATTCCTATAAAGTAATCCCCGGGGATATTTTTATCGATACCTTTAGTAAATTGTCCAGAACCCTTAACTAAAGACGTAACAGAACCAAAAAATTCAATGGTGCCACCAAGTTTTTGCTTTAAATCGACAGATGCTGGGGGAGAGGTGGTAGTTGCGTTGAGACATAACGCGAGTAGAGAAAAGGCTACAAAAGTAGCGAAAAGTGTACGTTTTAACAACATTATTAAAAAAAATTATTGTAAGTTTTTGTGATTTTGAGGAAGTAAAATGTCTGTTATTTATACTTATTCGATAATTGCCTCATGGACATTTAACATTTAAAAAGCGAACTCTGAAATTCAGGAATTTGATCGACTAGTTCATGAGATTACGTTTTTGCTTGAACTTTTCGTTATTATACCACACAAATAAAAAAACGTTTCTTTCGTTTTAAAACGGATAATATATTCGTATCGTCCATATTATCAAATTAATTATTAATTAATATTATCAAATTAATTATTAATTAATATTATTATCAAATACTAATTAATATTATTATCAATTACTAATTAATATTATTATCAATCACTAATTAATTTTATTAACAATTATTAATTAAGCAAAATAATAATTTTTATTTCAATATTTAATTATTTGATTATTTTTAAAGCATACTTATTAAAAAAAAATTTTTTTTCAATTATAATAACTTTAATATAAATGTTTTACAAATATAACAAAAAATATATTTTTTTTAATTTTAAGAATTTATATTTGATTTAATTTATAACTATATTATAATGGTTTGTCTTTATTAAATAATAATAAAAAAAAAACAATAAAATACTACAATAGTCTTTTATATAATAATCAACTTATCTTTTATATTATTAGTTGAAGAATTAAATCATTTAAAATATAAGAAAGTTTATATTAAAATAAAATAAAGTATTGTAAATTAAAAAATAAATCAATAAAAAATAAATAAATAAAAGTTTAAAAACTGTTTACTGATTTTTTAACTGTATATAAAATAAATACTGTAATTATATACTTGTCATTTCAACTTTAATTCCTTATTTGATCATATAAAAATTATCTCTATCAAATCTCCCTCATTGTAAACAAATTCTTTTTCATTAATAGGTTATATTTCTCTTAGACAAGTAGCTGCAATTACATGATTCAAAAAATTGAGATTGGTATGGACAAATTTGCTATATTTTTAGGCTATATAAATCTTATATAAACCCAAAGAATAGTTTAAATATATTTTTTTATTATTTAAAGAAATTATAATTCTTTTATCTGTAACACTATATTTGTTGCTATCTAAATGGAGTAGATCATATTCTTCTATTTTTTTTTTGTATATTTAAGGTTATATTCTTAGGAAATATATATATAGCATAGTTAAAAAAAAAACTATTTATTATTACAACTTTCTCTTCTTGCAAATATTGTTTTTTGAATTCTTGTAATTCAATAGGTATAGTATATTATACACTTAGATAAAAATTTTATTTTTTCTTATCAAAAGATATTTGCAAATATTTTAATATTAATAAATTTTTAAAAATTAAAAACTTAAGTTTGATTAAATACAGTATATACTCTGCAATTATTAAGATACTTTAATTCAATTCTTTGATTTTTAAATGATCATACAACTTGTTAATGCAAAACAAATATATCAATTCAGTTATCAAAAGCAATGGCTAAAATTTTTATATTTTTTAAGAGATCCTAGGTAAACATATATAAAATACAACAAATATTATAAAAGAATAATTGAGGGATCTAAAATATAATCAAATCATATACTAATGTTTCCACTATTATATATGATTAAATATTTGATATTATTCAAAAAAATAGTTTTAATAAATATTCTAAACAAATTTTTTTTCTTTATATATAAGTCATATAGTAAAGAATAATATACTGTATATAGATTAATTATTTTATATACTTTTTGTTTTCTGATTTTCTCTCTTTTTCTTTTCTTTTAAAAAATTTTTAAATTAATTATCTTTTACTAGTTCTTATTTGAGAAACAACAATATGTTCAAAGATAGTTTCAACAGTTATATTATTTAGTTTTGTAGATTTCAATTATTATTATTATTATTATTATTTTTATTTTTACTCTCTATTAAACTAATTATATATGCTTTATTAAACATTAGTATACTATACATGTAAAATAAATTGCTAAAGCTAAATCTCTAATTAGCTCACTTGTCTTAATTATTACTACTCTAAGTATAACTTTGGGAGTGATTTATTACTCCATTAGTAGCTCAGGCAAAAATCCTTATAACTATCAATTTTATTGCCTGTAAATTACTATTGCAAATCTTTCTTATAAGTTCTGATAAAAGTTAAAACCCTAACCATTATATTCTATACTTTACTCCTTCTAGAAAAGTTTATTTCAAACCTTTATCTTTATATTTTTCTTCTTCCTGTAAGAATCTTTTTGTAATTGTAATTTTGTTGTTCTGATTTAAAGGACTGGCTGATTTTCTTATTTTATCTTCTCTATAGATTCCTTGTGCTTGTTCCCATTCAATTATTCTTGAGCACTTTTTATTCTAGATCTTTTTTCAGAATTAATTGCAAATCTTCTTCTGTATCTTCATTATCCACTTTCAGATTTCTTTACCTATTATTTTCTGGAAATATTTTAGATTTGATATTTTCAATATCTGATCACTTCGTATTAGTCCAATACAGAAGTTTAATATATTCTAATATGTTTTTACAATTTCTTTTATAAGTCTGGCTATATATTTGTCCAATTCTCTTAATTCTACTCTGTTTTTAACTAGAAACCTTATTTCTTTCTCTTCCACTTCTTTTTATCTCTCATGCAAAAGTTTTCAAAAGTCTTTTAGAATGCCTTCAGTTCCTTTGTTTCATATTTCCTGCTATTGGGTTTTATATGCTAAATATTCTAGTAGGTGTTCTATTGTTTCTACTTGCTATTTGCATACTATACACTCTACTTATTTATATAGATTGATCTTCTTATGGCCAGTTTGAGAAGTGTTGATAACTCTTTATTGATTAATTTGATAAGAAAATTTTTCTTGAGAATCTTTAAAAGAGGTGTCTCAAGTATATCTATTCTTCATTCTTTCCCATATCAAATCCTATATAGTCACATTAATCTCAAATCTGTTGGTTCCATTTGTTCTAAATCCTATTTTATTTTATTTATTAATGAGCTGTAACTTTACTATTCATGTTTTTAATAAACTGTCTTATGGAATTATCTAAAGTCATTTTATACCATTTGATTATGATAATTATTTTGGATGAAGTAAGATTTTTCTATTCAATTACAGGAAGCATTAAGGTTTCCTTTGCTAGAATATCTACTTCTTCATTGTATAGGTCATTAGAGTGTGCTTTGATCTTGATCAGTTTCAGATCTAGTTCTTTTTTTTTAATAATATCCAACATTCTTGTCCACAAAAATTAGTTCTTTTCCTTCAACCATCTTTTGTAAGTTTTTCTGGAATCCTCTTTTTCTATTATTTTTCACCTGGCAATATAAACTTAACTGTTTGTAAAAATCTTAACCTTATTGTTTATTGAAACAATTGGTAATATTGTGACTATTATTACTAGTTTTTCTCTAGTGGATAATAACCTGTCACCTACTCTTGTTTGAAACTTACTTTATTTATCCTCTCTTTCTACTTGTACCCATACTATTCTTATCTTTATTTTTTCATATCCATGATTTATAAAAGATTTATCAAAGTAAAAGACCAATGTTTCTTTGAATTGTTAATTATATTAGAGTATTTTAATTAGATAGTATTAATATACTTCTTCTTTTATATTATTTTTAATAATCTGCTCTCCCCAATTCTCTATATCTACTTGACTTACTTTACTATTCTGATTGAATTTGTAATCATCTTTGATTGTTTTTTCTATTGTTCTTTCTAAAACTATTTTAAAACTTAGAATATTTAACTGCTAGATTCTTCTCATTGATTTCCTTATACTATATTTATATAGAAAACTTTATATATTTTTTTTTTTTGTTTCTATTATATATTGGCTCTTCATATTTTTACCTTTTACATATCTTAAATATTTTGTCAGGTTGATCTCTTGATTATTTGTAAACTGAGTATACTTGAAATATTCTATTTATATTACTTGCTTAGTGTCTTCCAATCTTAACTTTCTCCATATTATTTTCTGATGCCTATTACTTGTTACTATTCAGAGTATTTGTCTTTTATCATGATTTGAATTTATCTTTGTAATATGTTGGTTTCCATTTTGACTAGTCTTCTTTCCTAAATTTTGTAAGTTATCCTGATCTTCTTTCTTATATACTTCTTTCTATTACTAGATATCACTTTGAAATGGATTCTTATTAGTTTTTTGGATTAGTTAGATTATTTGCTATCTTTTTAATTCTTTAGTTTCATGAGTAATCAGCTAATCTATATATATCAGCTTATTTTTTTTTTTTTGAGTACCCGTAGCCAGGCTAGATCATCAGTTAATTAATCAAATGAAGACAAAAGTACATTTTCATTCGAGCAGCATGATACATACTACAGTTAAACTATTATTCTAATCTAACTAACTCGTCGTA